ACTACCACCACTACCACCACTACCACCACTACCACCACTACCACCACCACTACCACCACTACCACCACTACCACCACCACTAGCACTAGCACTAGCACTAGCACTACCACTACCACTACTACTACTACTACTACTACGACTACTACGACTACTACTACGACTACCACCACCACCACTACCACCACCACTACCACTAGCACTAGCACTACCACTACCACTACCACTACCACCACTACTACTACTACTACTACTACTACGACTACCACTAACACTACCACTACCACTACGACTACTACTACTACAGCTACTACTACTACTACTACCACTACAACTACTACTACTACTACTACTACTACTACTACTACTCCTGCTACGGTTACTGCTACTGCTACTGCTGCTGCTGCTGCTACTACTACTACTTACTCCCTACTACCTACAACCTACTACTTACTACTTACTACTAGGTCAGTACTAGTACTAGTACGATGACGACGACTACTACTAGTCATCATTTGCAAGACCATCCAGAGCAATTTACATTTAGACGATACCTCCCCCCAAAAAATTGCATATGGATTGAAAAAACGATACCAATCCCAAAACCGATACCTGCCTTAAAACTTCCCACCAAACGATCCCTAGTTTTGCCGGTTGCACAGTTCGTGTCTTTTGCTTTGCGCTTTAGCTCGCACAGGAGCCCTTGAAGTTCCCGGACTCCGCACGGGATCGCATCACGATGATCTCCATCATGGTGGCGCGGGGCCTGAGACCCGTTGTAGAAGAAGGAGAAGATTAAGGCCTTACTGATAATCGGCAGGAATTCCAGAGTTTAAGGCCTGACGGAAGACCCTTGTGAAAGTTATGATCAGGCTATGCAAAAGCCGAGACTTTGGGTCGATGAAGGCAGATTTCAGATCGCCATGGAGGTTTACAGCTTAGGAGGGTTGAAACTCAACAAACAACGGGGTCAGTTGCTGTGGATCAAGTTTTCTGATGTTAATAGTCCATGAGTGAAACAGGGTTGGGGAAGAATGTCACATGAGCATCCATGAGCCACAATTTGTTTGCAATTCTATGAGATCGTGACTGAATGCATCCGAATTCGATGTCATCGTTTTAGTCTTTTAACGCTTATAGATTCAATGGTTGACCGGTGGAGCTATGCCGGAATTGTTCTTGGACAGGTTAACATTCGAGATTCAAATCAATCCAAAGGGGGCATTGTTTTCATTGAATACGGATTAATACTGTAATAAGATCGTTTTGCATTTGTTTCATTCATCACATATCGATTTTGCTTCCACCAGAGTCCCCCGCCATTGATGCACGGCATGGTTTGATCACCTCAGGATGGCTCAGGCTTCTTGATTGTCAATCGCGCAGAAGACTGGGCCTTAGATACCGTCCATGGCTTGCTATAGACGGATGGGCCCTTTTTGGCAGCCAATGGACGGATGGGGGACCCTACTGGGATTGCATCGAAAGGAGATGCCCTAAATCCATTAAATGAGCATTGGGTGCAAAGAGAATGCAAAAGAGGCAAAGAGATCGCAAAGTGTTTACACTTGAAACGGTTGATCATTGAACCGACTCTTCACACTTGTTTGGCAACTTGTTTGGGTTCTTTTCAATGTCAATGGAGCCTCGCAAGCGCGCAGGTCTCTGCAGATATCGAGCCGCTGGAATACACTCCGAAACCTGAGTGCCTCTGTGGAAAACAGATGTTTTTGCAAGTGTTTGATTCTGTTGCGAGCTCCCCATTTCGCCATCCCCATGTCCTGTGAAGAGGAAGATAGATTGAACAGAACCATGTTGATTTGAGGGAAACCAGTACTGCATAGTGACCTTGAGAACTGGTCCGTCTCGTTTTGAGACCGGCCAAGCGATCGACGGTCGGTCACCAACCCGGAGATTTGAGATCGACGATCGACGGTCGTTTCGTTAGGTGATCGCTAGCATAAAGGCCAGTTTGTCAATGAATCCTGATCAAAGGCATCGAAATTCCTGAGTGTTCCCATGGGACTTGTTTCGTGGAACCAGCCCCATTTGTGGAGACCTTTTCCAGTGGAACCTGGGTTTGTTGGCCTTGGCCCCCCTCGTCGCAGGTACGAAGGCATATTCCAGACCTACAATGAGGAAGATGAGGCTGTTTGATGCATTCAAAGGTGGAGCTTGAGATCCCGGTCTTGAATGCAAAATTCTGTGGTTATACATTGGCTGCGCTTTTGCTCTGTGAAATCTGACCACCCAGCACTTCCAAATGTGAAGATCCATGGCAGCCATGCACTATCATACGTATTGTTTGGCCGGATTATACAGTGAAGCTTTTATGTGTTCCAGATTTTGACGTTCGACTCCAGCTGGCGCTGCACACGCACACACAGCACTGCGGGTGTCCATGGGTTGCCAGCGACTCCTTCGCCCTAGGTTAGCGCTCGGGTCGTGCATAGTGCTTCCTGCGGTGCTTCCCTCATGTCGTTCCTATCCTCAAAGGCAACAAATCCACCTGTCGGGCGCTCCGTAGGCTGCTCTACTGAAGCGCTTCTTCCAGCTCATGCGGGAGACCTGCCCGCATGTGATGGCCCGCAGACTCAGAAGGGCTGAGTGTCTTGTTGCCTACCTGGTGTCTACTAGGAGAGAATGGAGTGTATCACAGAGACTCACAGACCGACGATGATGATGATGATGATGATGATGATGATGATTGTAAATGTTGATAATGCTGATTCACAGGCCAGACACACACACACACAATCAGCCCAAACATCATTGTGGATCCCATCCCTATAGCCCTAAGATGCCCTAAGCCAGTGAACAAGCATCTTTTGTGGAAAAGCATGTGCCCTCTCTTCCAACATGTCGCAAGTTGATGGACATGTAAATCCTGAGCCTTGGTGTATCCCGTGATACTTGGCGTGGGTATTCCTGAATGTGATGAATAGTTCAAGATTAACAAAGCCATCCATCCGACAAGGTCAGCTTCAACGGGGACTTCTTCGACTACCCCTTTGTCATTAATCGCGCCAAGGCCGCTGCTGAATGTACGGCAAAGAACACCAGATTGGATCCAAAATTCCAGATTGAGTGTGCTTATAACTGTTATATATATATATGATCATGTTGGCCACATAATTGAGTTATCCAAGCTACAGTTGCATTCAGGTGTTTTTCTAGGTTGAGCATTGTTGCCCCTAGGCTATTATTCGATTGTCCGTTACAGCGGTGTTTGTTTTGCAATAAACTATCACATTTGATATCCATAAAGATAGAGAGACCGCGAGGGCAGATTGCATGACCATGAAGGCATGAAGGGACACTAGGACTGTTTTTGAGATGTGTAGGGTTGTGGGGTTTAAGTCATTTTAAGACATACCAAGGCACATGAGGGCTCCTTGAATTGACTCTTTGAGGAGCAGGAGAGAATGATGCAACCACTTTGAGACACGGAAGTACTTTGCTTGCGGGAAACACTCCACTTTGCCATGCAGGCCCTTTTCTTTATTTTTTGCACTACTGGTCCATCCTGTTCAGGCTTACAACATGGATTGGTGTGAAGAGGCGCCTCTTCTGGCCCGGTGCGGTGCTTTAGCCGGAAGAGTGGAAGGGGAACGGGGAAGACGTGTTTACCTCGCGGTGACTCCATGCCATGGTTACCATCTAGTCATCTACTGGTGAGAGGAACCATGGACTATGTCGTGGAACCTTTAAGAACTAGGGTTTGATTTTTAAATGCCACATCAACTTCATTGTTCATCGCGTGATGATCATCACTGCATTCAGGGTTGCACCACTCGTGGGACGCTGGGTCCTTTGGGTGGATCTCACGACGAATGTCTAAGGCTGTTTGAGATACATCTGAAGACCTTTGAAACCGACCATTGCTTTTGACAAATGGTTTTAAAGTAAAGAGGTTTTCAGAGCCATGGCGACCTGTGACTTACAGAGATGATGAGGACTCAAAGAGTTCCAAAGTCCAGACCTCTTGCTGACCTTTTTAATAGTATCTCAACCAGGTATAGTGCGGCCATGTGGGAGCTCCAGCAGAGAACCCATGCAGAACATGCAGAGCACAGCATGTGGGCTCCAGGAAGGGTTCTTGCACAGCATGGCAGAGCAGATGAAAGCAGTTGGAAATAATCTCATTGTGAGTGGCATTCTTAATCCTAGCAGCTGCCAGTCTTTGCTTTGTGTTTGTTTTGCAGTAGAGGTATCACCACACATAATGAGTTGTACTTCGACTGTAGCAAAGTGCTACCAAGGGTGACCAAACATTGAGAACACATGTCTCTTCACTGCATGTTAAGTGAAAAAGAGACAGACAGACAGGAGGTAGCCATCCTCACCAACGTGGCACATCAACGTCCCACGCGGCGTATCCTCCGAACATCCCATGGGGCACACCTGCCAATACGCAAGCCAACAAACGTCCCATGGGTTGATGGTATTCTTCGCCTTCTCAAGATTCGATAGGAAGCATCCTGTCTATGCAGGACGCATATCGACCAATTACTGCCTTGTTTCTCTGCCTTGTTTACGTCCTGTTGGGCGTTTATGGCTGGTGCTCCAGGCCTGGCTGAGAGTGGAGACGTGTAGGCAATCAGGAGATGCTTAAGGCATGAGCGAATCAAAACCATTGCAGGCAAGCAAACTCGATGGGCTGATCCCTTACGACAAGCTGTGATTGCTAACAGCTGCTTCAAGAGACGCCACAGCAAGTTTCTAAAACTGAAGTCTAAGTCTAGCCAAGAACAAACGACATTCTTGAGTGAATCAATGACAAGCAAGGCTGAAGCAGGTTGCATTCTATGTCTAACGATGTCTAACGTATTTGTTCATAATTGATCTAATGATCTCAGGACGTGCTCTTTTGTACCATTTCTGCAGGTTGCAGCAGCGATGGCGCGGATGCCGGGGATGAGGGGACTGAGAGTGAAACAGGCGCGTGCATGCCGAAGTCCATACGATTGTTGCTTGATGCAGGGCAATCACCTGGGTCATCTCAAGTGTCTCGGATTTGCTTCTTCAAAGTCTGTGGTGCAGACTTTATGGCCACTACAGCTGAGGGCCCACAAGCAGAGAATCCATAGCAATGAAACAAGAAACCTCAAACTTGTGTCTTTGGACCTGACCCAGCCAAAAACAGAAGTTCAAGCTTCCGTTTGGGCTGAGATTTGTCAGCACAAAGTGCTAGACTATGGTAAACCTTGGCAGACCCTAGGTAGACAAACACCTGTGCTACTCTCGCTTCAAGATGTCCTAGCTTGTGTTGAAACAAGCTTGGCCTCGAGGTTTTCGGGTTTGCTCTTTGGCCTCAGATGTCGGGTGCTCGGCTGGAACCAATGGGGACCCGAACGAATCTGTCGGCACCGTGCTATCATAGCTTGTAGATCGGTATAGATCAGTGCAGATCAGAAAGGGGTTCACATGCTGCCGCCAGAAAAGGAGTGCTAGTAATTGGGTTTCCTACCTTCACGCCGCTATGGATAGAATATTGCGTAATCATGTTTATGGCTGTGTTGTATTTTATTGTATATTATATAACTTGCATGTCAAAAATTTGCTGGGACTAGTCCAAGGGTGCTGTAGAAATTGCACCATCAATCAATCAAACCAAAAATGCCTCCGGCCCCGACCGCCTTAGACGCGCGTCAAGACGAGGACATCGAGAGGAGCGTGAGTACTTGTCATGGAGGGTGTTGATCGCAGTATGGCACCACCAAGGTCCCTGGTTTGCTGAGGGACCTCTACGAGAAGCGTGTGGAGGGGGAGGTGTCATTTCTGCCAGGGGAGCTCAGACGGTATGAATTGGAGAAGGCTCTTCTTGCTACTAGTAGCGATGCCCTTGGAACTAGTAGCTTCTTGTTCCTAGTAGTATGGCCAGGAGCTACTAGTAGCTTCTTGCTCCTAGTAGCGATGCCCTTGTTACTAGTATAGAATCCAAGCTGAGTTGGGAATACTTCGCAGCCCTAATCACTGCGACGGTCTGTAACACGGTCAGTAGAACGTGTAATTATATTCAGATTGATGTTTAATGGGAACCAGACCCAGTGCCATGTTCAATGCGCATTGTATTTTCATTATATTTTGATGCAATCGCAATTTTGGTTCATAGGTCCAAGGCCCAAAAGATCGAGCCTATACTAGTCAGGCTCAAACCAAATTGCATTTCAACCTTGGCAAGCTTAGTTTCCTGTGCCAGTTTTCAGAGTGGCAGTAGAGTGGCGTACCCAGCAGCTTTAAGGTTCGAAAGCGCTCCAACATCAACAGCTATTCATGGCCAGGTTCCTTAAGCAAGATAGACCTACTCTACTACAAACCGTCAATCGAATGATTCTGTAACAAAAAAGCTCAAATGCATGCCATCATAGATCACTGAATCACTGCAGAACAAGGGAGAGTCTGAAATGGTGCTTCTTAATGGTGTTTTGATGCTTCGGATGCATGAACGTTCGACCAGACTCCACATCGCACACGTCATGCTATTATCACTGGACATGAACACGAGATCATGGTGATGGTAGCTGATTGTAGTTGAATGTCCCAGCCCTCCTGATGGGCCTGATGGGTTTCCGTTTCAAAGTCCATGGATGGATGCAGTTGCCATGCCCGACTAATCGAGAGGCTGTGAGTTCACCCCTGTGGCATGGCAAGCTGTGACGAATTGCACTGGCCCCTGAGCGTGATACAGCATCAGGACACTGACTATGCGGGGGTCGGGGTTGGTCAGGTCATGTCAGGTCAGAGAATTCTGGAACGGTGACAATCACCCCCCCCTGCATGTTGAGACTTGCATCCATGGCGGACTTGAAGGCACTATCCACCTGGGCCATTCCTGCTTGACAACCAGGAAGCTCAGGAAGCTCAGCAAGCTTGGATCTACTAGGGATCGACCCTTGACCGATGCCACGAGGATGTGCTTTGTGGAATCGTCATCCATCGGCGAAACTACCCGGATGTCACCTGGCTCTCCATTGTGGAAGAGAAGGGGCCTCCGATCGTTGGGCATGAAGTCTGCTACAAGGACATGGGCCATGGGGAAGAAGAACAAAGCACATACGCTGTAGTCCAAAGATGTCCAAAGAGAACTAAAGAGGCGCATGATGCTTGCCACAAGCTACTGCATGAAGGTATTTTTCCTGCCAACTACAATGTCGCTGACGAAGGAGATCCAAATGACGCTTAGGTTACTATACGTTACTATACTACGTACTATGATGTAATTTGGACCTAACTGTAATTAACAGCTTTCAAGAGTGATTTTCAGTGCGCAAGTAGCTGTATATACTGGCACTCCTTTACGCAGTGGCACATATTTTAACTATAAGTTAATAGTAATTGGTTAAATATTTATAAGTAATTGTAATAGTATAAGTAGTTAATAGTAATAGTTAAACACATAGTAAATAGCATTCAATTCACTCCCATGGAACGTAAGCGGGCCAACATGGCCTGCCGCCCCAGCGCGCAGGCCGCGCCGCGGGAGCTTTGGCGGACCGTGAAGTTAGGCGATGCGATCGAGGTGGTTGGATGGTGGTCGAGCCTCAGATGAAGCGATGAGCACAGTGGATCACAGTGGATCTATGAGGATGGATGCCACTGTGAGTGATACCCTGCAGATGTGAGTGATCATGGATCAAACGGAAGCACATGGTTGAGATGCGTTGAAGGCAGTTGTTGGTTTCGAAGTATGCCTAGAGGGACAAAACCACCTGACACACCTTTGAAACAATCTGAAACGGCCTTCAAAAAGCATCCGAGCTCGACACAAAGCAACAAAGCACAACCGACCTAAAGACCTAAAGACCTAGCGACCTGATTGCTTTGGAAAGAGACGGTAATATGTAGACCGACTCACCAAGGGCGGGATGTGTCCTGTCGATCAACCATCAATGTAAGCGCTTCACCGCTCAAGCGTGGGAAGCGAAGGTCACGCACTTCGCTAATAGGGTCCAAGATGGAGTAATCTGAACTCTAGTCTGACCTTTGTTGGTCTAAAGGGGTGTTGAACTTCCTGATACTGTGCATGCAAAGCTTGATGGAGCAACTGACAGTCAAGGGGTCTTGGTTCTTTCTGCTTTTGTCGGAGGACTGGTCACCGGGGTGTCCACATGGATGCCAAGAGAGTTGTGGTCCAGTGCATGCGCAAGTGGGGGGTCACCCATTGCATTCAGGTCACTTGGCTAGCAGCTAGACCGTCTCTTGAAATATTGATGTATTTTTTAGTTATCCTCATTTGATAGAGCAGTTTCGTTTGACTGTGTACTGTGTACTGTAATTATATTACATTATGTCATTACTTAATTTAAGTTAAATTACCTTTTGATTGAGAAAAGTAAGCCGCAAAGATGGAGTTTGATGGTCATTGACTTGAAGCGAGAGAGCTAGCGTACTTGATTTCAATCTGGATGTGCATGCTCCGCTAGGTTTATGTTGGCTAAATGTACTTGTTCGACAGGACAGGATAGCTCCAGGAATTTAGGCCTTCTACTCCACCGAAGCAAACCAGCAGGTCATCATTTTATAGTGCTGAATCCAGGATTGCCCGTCCCATAGTAACTTAGCACTGAAGCAACAAGAGTGTGTTTGCGTGTCCTGTGTTTGTGACTTGGGGTCCGCCCTAAATCAGATTCAGAACGGATATCATCCTAGTATGAGATGTATGAGCCGCTAACTGATAACCTTTCAACATAAGACTATGCTGACGTACTCTGATACAGATGAATACTATGCGTAGCTCATGAATGCCGCATGTCCTTAAAGAACTTTTACGAGCCCACGTTGGATCTGGAGACGGAACCAATTCGCTCCGATGTCCAAGAATAATACTTGTTTGATCAACTCCGTTTGGCAACGAGTTTGCTTATCTTATTTGTTGTAAACTGCACTCTCCAGCTTGTCAGCCCTTCTCCAGAGGAAACAAATCTTACAATATGTCAAGGCCTTAATGGCTGACAAAGTACGGTTGCTGGGCTTTCTTGACTTTACCACCTGCGTACTCTTTACCCAGAACTAGCATGTCCCCAATCTATGGCCAGATTGAGATATATTGAGATCATTTCACAGGACAGTGCTGTCAAGAGTCCAGATTCCTGATTCCTCCAAACTGCAGGTCAGGCAGACACTCTTTGCTCCTCAAAGCATCTTGGAAAGAATGGCACGGAATTGCATGTGAGGATCATAACAAATGGCGTGACTGCTTAAAACTGAAGCTGGTCATCTCCTGTCAAAGTGCTGGGTTCTTCTGTTTTTAGGTCAGGAGCCTGCGCAGCGGCCTGCCGCACTGCGAGCCATCCGATCCCTCCCGGTCGATGCGCATGGACCTTCTGGCAGTGATGCGGTCAGCGAGCGTGCTGAAGCGGTGGCAGAGTTCTTTCTCAAGGATGTCTGGTGATGTTTGTGGAAAGCGGTGACATGTTGTTGTGGATGTTCTGACATAGTTCCCCACAAGAACCCTTTTGCCAGGGTGAAGGACGAAAGTGCGCTTCAGAGGCAAACGGAAGGGTAGTGCACAGAAAGAGTTTTGCAAAAACGTATTCTACCAACATCGTGGAAGGTCCAGGACATTTGCGGAGACCGGGGGGCTATTCCTGGACGTTTCGTGGAATGGTGGCCAGTAGGAAAACTGACGCAACAAAAGCCCACAAACCTTCGCATAACTTTGTGGAAGGTATGTTTGATGCACTAACTTCGTATAATATGCCATTTTTTGCTGACCCCCTTTCTCCACACACCCTCCATTTAGCCTTCAGCGCTGAACAGCTTGTGAAACCTGGGGAGTCGTATAGTAGCTGATTCAAGATCTTGGATGAAAGTTTGTTTGCGACAGCTTTAGTGCCACGCAGCCCTCATCAGCCCTTCTTCAGCCCAGTGCCGCTAGGCTGTTCCTAGTCTCCTCTCTCCATCTTCTCATGTGTTGGATGTCGCTGGTGGCACTGGGCTACTGGCCTTGGCCTTGGCACGTCGCGGCGTGCGCTGCACCGTGGTGGACCCGCGGAAGGCGGCTGGGTGCTTGCCTAGCAGGGCCAGGAGAAGTGGTGGATATTGCAAGAGACAAGAGAAAACCAGACATAGTATATATGGAGTGAAATAGAGCCTATGTTGAGTTTGAAATCAACTCCAATCTTTGTATGGAGTAGCTAGTTGACACACAGAGTTTTCTTATGCTTTCTTTGAGGCATGAGCCCCTGTGTGGTCTAGAGGTCTAGACTAGAGAACCAGCAAACGGCAGTTGCCATGTTTCGAGAGGAAATTGGCCAGGAAGACTGGATTTAATGCCTTGACGCTCGGAAAAAGAAACACTGTATTTATCGACAAAGATTGGCATCGTATGGCACGTTTGGCGTGCTTCCAAAAAAAAAGCTTCAGGACTTCAAATCCATCATGATTTCAATTATGGGAGCAAGGACGCTATTAGGGGCTCCTGGCATCGCGACTAGGAGCAAGGACGCTCCTCCGAACAGCCTTCGGCCACGCCTTCCAAGGATCCGTGCGCAGCGTGCCTGGTTCGGCGGCCGCCCGGTGGGCGCGGACGACTCCTTCGGCGGGGCCGAGGATGTGCTGCCGAGCATCGGCGAGGAGTCCGAGCTCGTGTCGCTCGATGCGTCGGACATGTGGAGGTAAGGGCATCGTTACTAGTAACAAGGGCATTGCTACTAGTAAGAACCTAGTAGGAGCAAGAAGCTACTAGTAAAGTGGTGATGATGTTTGCTGTCCCTTGGGGACTTGGATCCGTTTGAGGACGACCCTTGAAGCACAGCGCTACTTTGGGAATGAATGGACCCTTTTGACTGCGAAGATAGGTTAAACAAGTGTGCAAGCTTGGGGGACGCCCCTCAGTTTTTTGTGTATTTGCAAGGTGGAGAAAGTCATAGAAAGTCCCAATCTTGAGACCTTGCTCCCAGGGGCCCAGCATGGCCCAGCTACAAGTTTGTGGACCCTGTGCATTCACACTCTGACATTGGTTTTCAGTTAATCTATTCCCAAGTGGAAAAAGGTGAGGGAACAGAAAGGTGCATGAGTCGGCGAAACCGGTATGGTTGAACATGGTTTGCAAAGTCGATGCAAGCTCGATCAAATTCCAGCAGAAATGAATGAGGGAACGGCAAGGTGAAAGGTCCAAGCACTTGAAGGTGTTTTAACAAAATGGTTTTCTCGTGACTGCAGTACTCAGCGGTGGCGAAGCGAGCGGCGCTGTGCAGCTGCAGAAAAAACCAAGGTTTCGGGGGTGGTAGCATGAAGAACCATGAATCAAAACGTGGAAAAGTAGGGTGACAGCATGTGACAAACTCAGCAGGTACATGGTTGAGCGTCCTCAACCACTTCCCTTCCAGTGACCCAGCTTCGTTGGATCAGGTTAGTCACTGGAAGCCTGATCCCCCTGCGACTTGAAAGTTGAGAAAAAATAGAAACTCTTAGTTACAGAGGTGGACACACACACACACCTGTGATTCAGGGCAAACCATGTAAACAGTACAATAGGTTTTGGCGGTAAGATGACCACGCACATGAAATACGTCCGAGGTCGTTTTGAAGGCAAACAAGTCAAAGGTTCAGGACCATTCTCATGATGTAATTGCAGTAATTATTTTGATTAGAATGACAATCTTTTTGGAAGTGCTGTAAGTTCCAAACAAAAATCACGAGGATGGTCCGGGCTCACAGTCAACATCTAAAACACTACAGGAAAAAACAGACACGGCCGTGCCGTGCCTGGCCAACTGAGGCGCAACTGCTCGGGCTTCGTGGCGTTGCATCCGGATGAGGCCACTGAGGCAGTGGTGGAGGCCGCGCTACGACTGCAACGACCTTTTCTGGTGGTGCCCTGTTGTGCCTCGGTCTCGGAGGCTGCGGTTAGTTCATCATGTGAATAATCAGGTGATAGTAGATTTTGATATGTTTTGTTCATCGGGGCTTGGCCACTGGCACAAAGTTATTTGTTCAAACGTTTTGTGGGCAGCCGTGTCATGTGGCCAAGAGTTCCTTGTGTGAAATAGTCATGGTCATAGTTTTCTCCTAACTCGTCCGATTTGAAGTGCCTTGTTCCGAAAAAGATGAATTGTGGGAGGTGAGTGCTAAGGCTAAGGTTTGTGGCTTGAACCTATTGAATTCTGATGTTTTGCGCAACGATTGACATGGGCGGCAGGAAAGTAAATCAATGGCCTTCCCACATATTATCCACTACATGTTTGCCCATTGGATGTCGGACCAGCGGGCTGCCATTGACAAGAGATAATTAATATAGTAAGGTAATCAGACTGGCTTGGTTTTGTCGAATCATTGAATGAGAGGGCCTCGTGATTCTAAATGTTTTGTGTTCCACACGATGCCCTGGAGTCTTTCTGCATCAAGAATCATAATCAAGATTGATGCTGGAAAATCAGATGGATTGCAGCCCTTCAAACCATTTACGTGTCGTTTACCTCTGATTGCTGACAAGGCTGAAGATGCTGAAGGCTATTCCACCTCGCACCAGCCCTATTTCGTGGTCGTCCTCAGGTGTTTTCGCTCGACTCTTCCCACATCGCCGGCTCGCTGATGGGAGACAGGCCTGTGAGTTGGATGAGTTCATCGTGTTTTTGTTGTTGATGGTTGTTTTCGCGCTGTTTTCGGATTGGAGGATGTGTTTGTTTTTTTTGCGGAAAGAAACACAGTGTGTTTTCCATCCTAGATAAGTTGTTGAATCTGAACTATAAGTGAGTCTATTCAATGGAAGAAGAGCCAAAGAAGACTCTTTGCCATCTCCAATCTTTGTTTATCTCACGCCATAGAACTTGCCACATCTTTGGTTAGTTGCAGATGGGACTGCTAGGTGACCAGCCTTCCGGAATTCCTGGACTTCCTACAGTCCAAGCATCCATCCATTCGTAAGGTGCACAACTGGGGATGGGATCAATGATGTGTGCACAGCTCAGATTGAAGAAATTCAACCTACTACACACCCAATATCAACTAACATCAACTGGTCTGAAGAATTTGAAGAACAAACGAAGGTCCGTACGTCTCTTCGCTCCTAAGATCAGAAATGACAATGAACACTTTCCACGGCCTTTGACAGCCTCTGGTGCTCGGCCTCACTGTAGAAGATTGTTAAAACATGTTAAAACCTTGTCTAGTATCAGTAGTCAGTTAGAGCTTTCAGACAGCAGTCTTAAAGTTGATCCATTTCCACCTTGTCCAGTGCTTTAAAGAAGTATCCCACACGTGGTCCTTCACAGGAACAGTTGCCCTTCGAGGGCGCCAACCAGGCCCTTTGGTCTGACGGGAAATATTGCTTCGACTTGCAAAAGAGTGGCGCACGGCAGCGGCTTCGAGCTCTTCGAGCTCCAGGGTGAATCGTGGACACTTCGACCACTGTTTGACCAGCAAGTTTTGTGCAGGTCAGGTTGCAATGATTCATGGTTTTGGATGGACTCAACATGATTCAAGGGATTTGAACAGAGAAGCTGACACGTGCTGACCCTTTTAAAGTGAATCAATCGGGATGAGGGTCGGACGTCGTGGGTCATCCGCAAAGAACGGGTCCACGACCCCCCACGGCCTCGACCGAAGACGGTCAACGAGGCATGCAGAGGATGGCAACGAGGCGAGGCGGAACGATGTGAGACCTGCCGACCTCAGATGTGAGACGACGCGAAAACACGAAAGACCTGATCTAATTATACATATGTTAATCGTTTGTGTATATTCATGTATATATTTACACGTATATGTAGTAATTACATATCAATTATATAGTCTATGTATAGAATGTACACAAAAGAGATCAAAAGAGCATTATTGGATGGTACTCATTCATGTTTAGATAATGTTGTCAGAACAAATAAACCTCTTTTTTACAGCAGAACGCAGAGGATTGCTGCCGAGACTGCTTGCGTCATTGTAGGTGCCAGTATACCCGAAATTGGACCCTTGCAGATCGTTGCCGATAGTCACTTAAATGTTGTTTGCATGTTTGTTCACCTTGTGACAATTGTGAGCAGATGGAGGGTGGCTCCACCTCTTTTCATCAATTTGGGGTTTCCAGATGTTCCCAGTTTCGTTTGGATCTCAGGTGGAAACTGCTCACCTTTGCATCTTGCACCTGCAAAGTCCAGTGCTGGAAGCTTAGCTTCGATCGGTTCAGACATGCCTGGATCGAAGTGCCACTACAGAGCTTGGATTATGAGACTGCGCGCAAGAGTTCAACACCTGTAGTATTTTGGCAGGATCTGACTCAAAAAGCTTAGTCACGCCCTTGTGGAATCCGGAAACATCGTGGTTTGGTTTGCACAGCATTGGAACCCGAGGCTGCGAGCAATGCTATGCTCTCCTATGCAGGAAGCGAAAACACATCAGGCAGGAATGCTCGTCTTCGAATGCGTCACCGAGGACTCTACGGCTTCGTTGGGTTCCATGAAGATTGCCGGATTGACGTCAAGTTCCTGGGTTGAATCATGTTGAATCCATTGGTGTTCAAATTGAGCTGGTTTGAGTTTAGGGCAAACGTCTTGGGATGTTGTTGCTCCTGAGAAACGACTTGATTTTTCTGCTGGGTCAGTTCCATGCTCAGTCAAAAGAGATGCAGATCAATACTTGACCCAAGAAGCTGAAGTACCCAGGTGTGAAGCTGGAGTACCCATAACCCAGGTGAAGGCCTTCTTGTGCTTGGCCAGGTGAAGCTGCATCCAGACTTTGCCAAGATCTGGCCGTTGGTGGTGCGCTTCTGGTACGGCTTGCCGGCGCGGAACCGAGGACGGCTGGACCCCGATAGGGAGAGCAAATCGTGTCCTTGGTATCACAGGCTCCGCACTGCCTTATTTTTGTTCAATAGATCGTATCCAGAAACCAGTGTATGAGTGGACCAGGCAGTTTCTCAGGTACTTGGCGAGCAAGAAAAGAACACATACCTGGGTGGTGACATGATGTAAGCGTTTGACCATCCAGGATGGATTGATTCAACAACAGTCAGGTGCAGCACTCCCTCTCCTTTATTCCGCTGCGCTGGTGTCTCCAGAATCCATCCGTGTCTCGTGGGCGATTTCGTGTCTGTCGCCCTCGCTCAGGTCACTGTGGAGAGCTTCGAGACGGCAGTGGAGCTCCGGAAGATCGCGCAATACTATGTCGGGGACCCCTGGCCAGTGATGTTGGGGCCTCATGGCTTTTGAGTTTTGATGCGTTTGACTGACATATTTGGGTGTGCATTGAAATACCGGGGACCCAAAAAGTCCAATGCTGGGAATTCGGAAAGGGGAAAGACAAATTAACAGCCGCCTGCAGGGGCTCTCTATTCTGATACACATCCATGTACGTCCGGTCTTGCCAAGCGAATCGCTTGCGATCTGAGAGGAGGCAGACGAGTTGAAGAGCTACACCTCTCAGCTCATCTTTGGTGCCACTCCCACTGCGCCACGCATGGCCATGCTGGTGGACAGCCTCGGCTCCTTGGATAGAGACTCGGAGTTGCCAGTGGTAGGAATGATGAATTTCCGAGGTCCCAACTAACTAAAAACGTCTAAAAACCAGGATACTGCAGGTGATATGTGTGTGTACACTTGATGCAATGTATTATTTGTGTTTTATTTGTATATATTTGTCCATATGTGTCAATGTGCTTGTTTCTGGATTATGAGGCTTTGAGGAAGACTTGATGGAGCGCGCTTGGGCATACCTGGAGGCTTCATTGTCACAACACGAGTGAAGAGTGGCCAGGCATTGCCTATTATCAAAGAAGCGAACGAAATCACAAAATAGAACTGACACCTAACCACCCCGTTGAATACCCAAGCAGCTCAACAGATGCTGTTGACTGGTTGCCTAGCGGCCTAGCTTGCGTCCAGTGTTCTATTCTTCAAATCATGGTGAAGTTCAATTCAATTGCAGCAATATGCAGCAGAGGTTGGTCGAAAGAATCCTAAAGTCAACAAGCGACGCATTTGAAGGAATATCTCTTCTTGGAGGCGGTTCACAATGATAGCACTTGTGCTCCATGAGAAACTACTGGTTTGGTTCTAAGGTTCGTCATAGAGACTGCGCAATACACCAACAACATTGGTCAGCCATGGTGCCAAGCTTGTCCTTCCATCCGACATGACGACTATATAGTTATTTGTTGTTCCTTTTCATCCTCAATTCTGGATGTACAATTGGCCGTATATTATATACAGGCATATACAGGCTATGTACTGGTTCTTTGAATTCGCGCTAGCAACTTTTTTCACCCGCAGATGCTCCTCACGTAGCACGCAGAACTGCCAGGCACACCCCAGAGAGCTGTTTGCCTCCTCGGCCTGGTTGAGGCGCTAGATTGCTCCTAGTAGCCTTTTGTTCCCAGTAGTAAGGCCACGAGCTACTAGTAGCGTCCTTGCTCCTAGTAGCGATGCTCGCTGCTCTTTGCTACTGGTAGCGATGCCCTTGTTCCTAGTAGCGTTTTTGAATCAGGATGATTCTCGTAGTTGTTGACCTGCCAGTGTTTAGTTTTTGGTGTGAGGAGAGCAGGCGTGTCAGAAGCAGATCCAGGGATACTTCCGCTCTCGGCAGATGTAAAACCACGTGCCTTTGTTGATTCAGTTCCTGTTCCACTTTTTCCTTGGCGTTGTTGATGATCTTGCTCTGTGTCACCTCTTGTAACTTGTAGGCTCTCCTCCAACACTGTGGCAGACTTCCTGAGGCCCGGGCAACAGAGCGGCAGTGTGTCAGATATACAGGGAGTTCTGACCTGGTGATTTGGTTTGTCCGTGTTCTTAGCCGGTGGTACAGAAAGGCAGAGTAGAAGTCGGCCAACATGCGAAGTACAGGCACCTAGAGGCGTTCCCAACGACTTCAGTCTTTTGAAGGTTTATGGTAGATGGAGACTTGAACTTGCTCAAGTGTCCAGCTTGCACTGATGTTTTAGGAATCCAAGCTGTAGGATGCAGAGGGCTTTCTGTAGGTTCATCCTGCTGTGTTAAAGCATCCTTGCGGGTCCTCCCAATTCTTTGAGACATTCACTGCCTTTTTTAAGTCCTTGGATGGATCAACGGCCATTGAAAGCTTTGGACAAGCCAAGTTTTGTCCTCATGGTCCGCTCATGAATCGTCAAAGCTGGTCCAGATGGAACATGGTAAGTATCCTGATGTTTTCATGATGTTGGGCAACAGATACCCGATACCTATATAGTCTTTCCAGTTTTCTTGGTAATCTAAGTAACCAGGTCCAACATTTCCACGCGTAGCTACCCAGTTAGCTGCAGCCCCTCCACCACTAGGCGTGACCACGTGAGATGCCGTGAGCCTGCCATTCTCCGCGCATTGGCTCGATGGGCGCGTGCCAGGCTGGGTGACGGAAAACGATTCAGAGTTAAGATGGAACTGGGTTCTGAGTCAATGAGATATTGGAAGATTGATTCTAGGCAGATCAGGTGTAGGAATGTGTGCAAGGATATTTAGGAGGGAGGGAGTCCTTCCGCTTGCCTGAGAGGCTAAGAAGCATACCAGCATTCTGGTGACGTAGAAGGGTGTCTTTTATATTTCATTTATACAACTGAAGCAACTTATTGCATTGCCGGAATAGCAATATGAGGAAAGACAAGGCAATACAACAAGTGTCCCCACCAAGTCAATGTGTATGACCACAACAAGCGCCGACGTAGTCTAACCCATAATATATATACAGTATATATAATATATATTAATATACATATCATGGATTATACTTAAATTAGCTTTCTTAAATATTGGCCTTACAGTATATTTTTGTTGATGTGCTGTTTTGATGTGCTTTCTTAAACCTTCAGGCTTTTAAACCGTGTGGTTCTTTGGCTTGGCATTTGGTTCTTGACACGCCCCATCCTACCCTGGGCGTTCACCTCCTTCTATGGGGAACCTATACCGAGACACCATCGATCTTGCCAGGAACTTCGAGGAGTCGGCAGGCAGCCATGGGTTAATTTGAGGCTGTTTTTGCGGAGGAATGAGGCTGAATGATGGGTTCAATTGATTAACTCCAGTAATTCTACTGCTTTTGTTAGTTTTGATTGAACTTTGCTCACCACTGTAGGGAGGTTGTTGACTCATATTGACATGTTTGCTTGAGGTTTCACACGTGGATGTTGCAGGCGTTTTGCTTGTCACGGAACATGAAGAACAACGGAACGCTGAGCCTGAAAGGATATGCAGCCCGATGGGTCCCTCGCCCACAAGTTACTCCATCAGGCCTTCCCCCACAACAATCAGTTTATATATGCTCATGTATGATTGTTCACAGAGGCACTACTTCCACCACTGCACACCACAAAAAGAGGTGTTAAAACCAGCCACTCTGCCAGCTCCCTCGCCAGCTCTGCCGCTCCGCACCTCTTCGACCCGCCATGGCCGGACACAACGTCACGCTGCGCTCCGCGACCTCCGGCGCCACGGTGGGCGCCTGGGACTTCGAAGCGCTCGTGGGTGCGCAGGAGCCGTGGCTCACGGTGAGGAAGTTGAAGCAAACGATGGCGATGGGTGGAGGATATCCTCGGTTCAGACAAAGGCCGGGATTTTGGGGGGGGAGTGGGTTTGAGGAGTTGTAGAAGGGGTGGGAGAAGTGGCAGCTTGCATCTAGTTGGATGCTTTTGTTTTTGCCTATGGGTCGGCATATCATGGTCAAGAATTATATATGTCATAGGTATTAGCTTGGTATTTTGATGTGTTGATGTTCTTCTTGCATTGGGAGGGTTTGGGGGGCTTGGAGGGTTGGTTCAATTGTCCCGAGTTGGAGGCTCTTGAACCAGACGGGTGAGCTGCTATCGGATGATGTCGTTCTGAGTCCGCCGGTGGATTTGCAGCTGGTGATTCTGGAGTGTTTGCCTGCTGAAACTCAGCAAGATACCGCCTTCATCAAGGCCTGTGCCGAGAATCACATTGAGGAAGTGGAACGCATGCTGCAGTGGCCCCAAAATCCCAATGCGACTGAAGAGCAAGGTGGCTATACAGCTTTACATGCTGCATCACAAGAAGGCATGGTGCAGAGTGTGTGCTTGCTGCTGGAAGCCAGAGCAGATGTAGGCTTGACCACCAGAGGTTGGGCTTTAGCTTGCTTTTGTGAGAAGCCTGCTGTTCAGATGTTCAAGCAGCTACTTTATATAATTACTGCCTCGATGATAGAAACTCTAGCTCCACTCGCCATTTGTTTTGGTCACAGGGGGGCAGCTTACTGTTTGGAAGTATGGGATGGAGCACAAACATATAACATGTCTATATCGTTTTTTCTTGTATACAAACCGTCCATGCGTTTCTTGAAGGTGTGACACACTCATGCATTTGCGTGCACTCACATGCACAGTATATCAGAGAAACGCCGAGAAATACCTGATTTGATTGACCCTTTGCAGGTGGCGCTTCACCTTTGCACTTGGCCGCTATGAATGGCCCATTGGCTGAAAACAGGTCGGGATGTGGGTCCGTGGCTGAGAACATACTAAAGCAATCGGACGAGTTGACAAAGGTCGGGCAGTTTTACAGAGCCCAATTTGAGAGTCCCACCGAGTGAGTCCTAGTGACCTATAGCAATGGTTAGGAGACATTAGCGGCTTGGATGAAGCCTCATAACCGGACTCTACAGTTGAACGTGTGAATGTGGCCTGGTGGGTTGGAAAACTGCACATTGACGTTGGGAGGATTGTATTGCCGTGGTGGTTTAGTGTCTTTGAATGTACCATGGACCTTCATCCTTTTCGAGATTTGTTTCAGCCACTCCAAGCTGTACACAACCCAGTCAAGCCATTTGATCCAAATAGGTCTTCAGAGGAATGCTGGGCGTAGATGGCTTCGTCCTGATGATCAGGGATGGTCAACATGGCTGTCCAATAGATTCAATAGATATGTTGAGATATTGAGATAGACGGTATGGGATGAAGAGTGGGATGGAGATGAACGGACGTCGGGGGGAGGGGCCAAAAACGCAGGCCAGGCCAGGCACTGTCCTTCGGGGCAACAACTCACGTTCACGGTGGCATAATATGTTTTCCATGATTTTCGCATGTTCACCAATCCTCTTGTTGAATCTTCCGGAAGTCTGGCAGCAATTGAACATCCGTTGGTTGTTGTGCATCTTCACTTCAAAGCGGTCCACGGTCGACCGAACACTGTTCAGGTCGTTGCAAGGACGCGAGGGACGCGAACGGGTTCTTGTGGGACCCTCCGTTTGCCGGAGAAACGCCGATTTTGCGGGGTGTTAGCGATACAAATCCTTCAAACAGGATGGTTCCAAGCGATCTCCATGAACCGAAGTATTTGATCAAAAGCCTGGATCACCAACCAACAACCAACTCCAAGGACGAGCACCAGCAAAATCGGGATCACGCACGATCACGGAGTAGGATTTTATTTCCACTTGTTTAGAGTCACTGTCCAAGGTCAATTGCCAGTGGTTGAGCTGCTCCTCAGCTCGAAGGCTGCTTTGGACGCTGACCGGACCGAGGATGGCGCCACCCCGCTGCATGCGGCTGCGCACGAGGGGCACCTGGAAGTGGTGAGGCTCTTGCTTCGGGAGACGTGGCAGAAAAGAAACACTGGGAGACCAGGCCCTCCCAGCCGCTTTGTCCAATCAAACTCACTGGCAAGTTGCCAGCTGCTATGTTTGGAGGGCCAAGAACTGCCTTGCTGAACAGAAGATAGGTCAATGGCTCTATGGCTATGGTCCATTGCAGATTAGATTGACCAATCCAAGTTCAGAAGTTAGTGAGTTCCGCTTCTTTCAATTAATGTCCAGTCCAGAGATAGACCATATCTTTTTCCCAGGACCCTCGAAGGACTACTGAAAATGGAAGTGCAGATCAACAAGCCCCTCTTACTTTTCATGGACTCAGAACCCTGGCCTGTGGAGGCCAACCCAAACGGCTCAAACTTAGGAGTGGAGTGACAAAGATATGGCGATGAGCAGTGGCGCAACGCCTTTACACCTGGCCACACAAAATGATCACTTGGAAGTGGTGCGGCTTTTGATCCAGTTGGGGGGCGGACATGGACCGTGCAGGTGGGGAGACAGGCACCACGCCCTTGCATGCAGCAGCCTTCAAGGGCCACTTGGGCGTGCCCATGGGCACAATGTTTGAGGAAAGGTTTGACGGGGTGAATGAAAATCTGAGTGTGCATGCATTGCAATTAGTTCGTATATTAAAACAGGGAGAATACCACACAACAAAAGACTGACACCCGTAGGTTTGGGGACTTGCCCTTCTAATGTGCACCCGTTGAGCTTATACCATTTTAGATCTTGTTGTCATAGGCGGCCATTGGAAGCGATCCTAGTACTCCTTCAGGATGAATGTAGATGAGGCGGTCAAAGAGACCAGGTAACTCTAGGAACGCGGGGTCAAACACTTCCTTCACATCCAGACTGAATGGAGTCCCAGCATGAGAAATCGAAATCCCCTAGAGAAACAATGACAACCATTCACCAAGTTTTGCTATTAGTTTGTGTGTCCCCTGCGCCCTGCGCTGAGAGCGGCGCTCTGAGCCGCGCCCCTAGGCCATTTGGGAGTAGCGATGGCCTCCACCCTAGTAGTGATGGCCTCCAACTTAGTAGCCCTAGCAGTGATGGCCTCCAACTTAGTAGCCCCAGTAGTGATGGCCTCCAACCTAGTAGTGATGGCCTCCAACTTAGTAGCCCTAGCAGTGATGGCCTCCAACTTAGTAGCCCTAGTAGTGATGGCCTCCAACC